CTTATGCTCTAATAAATTTGTTAGTCTCTAAGGTGCCACAAGTACTCCTGTTCTTCTTTTTAATGCATATAAACAAGTCAAAATACTGAACACACTATCTGACGCACACCTTGCTGCAATCCTGAAGGTTTTAACTGCTCAGTCACTGAGGCCAAACATCAACAAACTGACAGAACTGAAGCATTGCAACACTAAAAACTCTCTGGCAGGCGAAGAATTGGATAAAGTTATATAACAGTTTTATTATTTCTAAGAAATTCAAAATAAAAAATACAATATAAACATTTTCTTTTCTGAACACCATCTTCAGTGGCACTATTGACCCACTGAGAGAATTTGAAGACTGGCACTGGCCCTAAAGTAAACTGAGTTTGAGACTCCTGGCTTGAATAATCTCTTGAACCTTCAGCTTTGACATACTGTTTTGTTTTCTGCCTTTTTAAATTGAGTGAGTCTTGTGATTGCTTAAGTAAGCTTCCCTGCTGAGTATAAGAATTTTAATTTTCTGACTCTTGACTTTTTGCACGTTTGACCTAGTCATTTCTTAAAATCCCTTCTTCCATAGTTTGGCTAGTTTTTAATATGATTCCTGTCCTGATGATACTGAGCTTAATTATATAGTTGCAAATAATACTTAATCACTCAACTACTGTCACTTGAATTACCTGAGGTGTGTTACTTAGGACTAAGTCAAGAACAGCCTCCTCTCTTGGGTGCTTTAGAATTAGCTGCTCAGAAAAAAGTAGTCATTCAAGGTAGCCAGAAATGGCTTCACTAAACACACCCTATTGCTCTCCATCTGTCACTGTGACTTACACAGTAATTGATTTTCTCTCCATGCCCCTGTGATCTCTACCACCCAGAATCAGACAGTCACACAACAGTTCCTTTTCCAGTGTCCTACTGGAAAATCATCTGTAACCTTTTTCCTCTTCCCTCCTAGAATAAGAACACAGGTCTCTCCCTCCTCAAACAACCTTCTGTAATTCTGCTTACCTGCTTGGCAGGACTGGGGTGAGCCAGAAGACTCCCAGCTTCATAAGGCTGATAACTGTTCATTCTCCCTTGGATCTCTGACTTCCCCAGCCAGTATCACAAGCTAATATTACCCTAAATTAAGAGGAAGAGAAATAGGGATGTTGGTCATTACAAAATGACTCTGAATCAGCAGACAAAGAGAAAGGGGAACATGGGGTTGGGGGAGGGAAAGAAGATAGGAAAGAACAACACTGAGAGAAAGAACAGTTAGGTGCCTCTTTGGATCTGTATACAGGCCAAGAAAACCTTCCTTTCAGCCTCCTTTGAAGCTGCCAAATTCCAAGGATCTAAGCAGGGTGGTAACCCACTTCCTCAATCCTGAACAGGTCTCTGTGTATATAACTGATTTTTTGATTCAGTGGCTGAACTGAACTGAGAGAAAAAGTGGTATGGATCAACCCAATTTTTTTTTCAACTGACGTGAAATGTTTGGCTGACTCACACCAAAACATATTGTTTCAATGTTGGGTATTTTTACCAAAGCAATGGAGATAAGAGGCAAAACATGGGCACCATTCACAACACTGTAGTGTGTACGCCCATCCCCATCAATAGCCCAGTGGATAAGCACTCACTCAGGCTGAGGGAGACCAGGTTTGAATCCCCCCCTGGAGATTTGAACCCAGGTCTCCCACCTCCTAGTAGAGTTTTCTGGGGTGGGTCAGTCTCAGCCTCTGCTGTTGTTCTATTTAGCACCAAGTGGGAAGCTTAACCACCAGGCTATACAGTCAATCCCTTTTGCTGGCTGGACCAATGATTATTTAAGTATTTTGTGCAGTCTGCTTTGGTTGTAGGGTCAAACCCACAAGTGGTCAATTCAGTCTGTAGGTTAGGAATGCTCCTCCCAGAGGCTGAACCCTCAAAGCAACATCTAATACTTTCTACCATCTCCAACTGGCTAGGAGGCTCTGTCCTACCCTGGCAGACGATGATCTGGTTTCAGTCATATATGCCTTTGTCATGTCCCATCTGGACTACAGCAATAATCATACTTGGGCACAAAGCCCTCAGCCCTTAGGAATTGCCAGCTAATACAGAATGCTGCAGTCTCTGCTCCGCTGCACAGACTACCATGAACACATCAGACCTGCACTGTGCTCTCCACACCTGTGTCCCACAGAATAGAAAATCAAGTTCCAGGTCTTGGTTCTTATCTTCAAGGCATGCCATGGCCTGGGTCCAGGGTATCTTAAAGAGCAGAAAGCTCCAGGATCCTTAATGGTATAAATTGGTGGTGGTGGGGGGGGGTCTTCTCATATACTACTGCCCCTAAGGGTAAGAAACCTCACCACATCCCCTGCCTATAGGCTGGAGACTGAATTAGTGGGGAGAACAAGAGATGCAGAAAGTGACCCTGGTAGGGAGGACATGAGTTTGGAAGCAAGAAGGGGTGAATGTGACAGGGGTAGGGAGAGGGTCCTAGTAGAAGAGGTGGGAAAAGGGAAAATGAGAGTGGAGTAAGTATGTTTGGTAGGGTATTCTCCTGGTCAGGCTCTCTTGAGCTGTGGGTGTTGCCCGCCCTAAAGGGCTCGAGGGGACAACAATGGTCCGTCGCCTAGTGTGCTTGGCACCAATAAAGACACCGAGGGGAGAAAGCAAGCCAAGTTTATTTCAGAGCTCTGAAATGGCACTAGGAGACCGGCATGTCTCAAATCCAGTGCCACAAATACAAACAACTTTTACCTTTTATACTCCAAACTGTTTACATACATCTCTTTGTCTGGCTGTTCCCCCTTACCCCTCCCTTCCAGACAACTGTTACAATAAGCTCTACATAAGCTTGTGAGAAAACTTTCCCAGTCTTTGCGACCTTGAGTTAGACGCCTGCAAACTAACTACCCCTCCTTTCCCTCGCTCCTTATCTCTATTATTTCTGCTAGTGTGAGTGAAACTGCAGCCATCTGCTAAAAAGCTGACATTACATTTCTGCTTCAGCCTACTTCAGAGCATGTAAGCAGTTAGCATAGAAGTAGGTGAGAGTTCCCAAGATGGAGTCACAGACCCAGAGCAAAAGAGCTTCATCGGCACTTGTGGCCTTCCACTCTCCCGAGTTACCTGGTAGCTATGCCTAGTGGACCCCAACATGGGGCTAGGCCTCACTGCTGGGACAGTGGTGGTATCTGGGGAAGCCCTAAAGTTCTTGCCTTACTCTTTTGTTTACAGTCTTGAAACTGGGAAAATGCAAATGTCTGCCTGGGTTTTTCTCTGAGATTCCTGTACGGTTGCTCCAGCACCCACTAAAATCTCTCTCCGGCAATCAGCAGGGCTGCAGTGACTGAGCAAGGATTTCCCCTGCAGTGTCTCTTTTCAGCCTCCTGCCAAGAGCTGCCGTAGGGTTGGCACCAAGGCTAGTTAGATTGTGTCTCCTCCTCTCTTCTTGAGGTCCCCTTGCTGGTGCCCAGACAGCATGGAGTCATTGTGAGGAAGAGAGTAGGGAGGGGGAGGCAGCACCCAGCAACCTCAGGGTCCTTCCAGCAGTGAGGGGAAGGGGCCCTAATGGGGAGACAAGAGCTCAAGGAACAGGCTTCCTCTTTGATTTGCGTCCATCAGCTCAACAGCAATGATAGGGCTGAATGAAGTCTTTCCATCACTTTCTGTACAGCTTCATGGCTTCATTCACCTTTAAACCTTTTGTTCTGTCATTCTTCACTGTGTCTATCCAGTGCATCCTCACTCTTCCTCTAGTTCTAGGGGAGAGAATGGAGGCTTGGGTGCTGCTGAGGGAATCACCATGGGGCAGAGTAGGCCAAGGGGATAGATAGATGGGACTAGCTGGGTGACAGGAGGCTCATGGAGGTAATGGGAAGCAGGGACAGAGTAAATGAGGTTGATCTGATTCTTAGCTAAGGCTACAAGGAGTCCAGTGGCACCTTAAAGACTAACAGATATATTTGGGCATTGTCTTTAAGGTGCCACTGGACTCATTGTTTTTGTGGATACAGATTAACACAGCTACCCCTCTGATACTTAGCTAAGGCTGCCGAGCGGACTCATTTGCTCTCTAAGTGGTCTCAGGGCCACTAGATGGGACAGAACGCCACACCCAGAAGGTGTGTGGGTTACATAGGCACTGTTCCTCATCCTTCCCCTACCCTGATGCTGTCCAATGCCCTACTCCCCACTGGCTGACCCCAACACTGGCACTGGGGACTCTCTCAGGGGTGAATCAGTGACTATTCTTCACTGTGGAGAAATGTCACCTGTTGGGAGGCACAATATTTGACTGCTAAGGGGCTAAGTGTGGGGGAGGGAAAGAAATGAAATGAATGCCTTGTACTTTTGACTTTGTCATGTTGGCAGCAGATAAGTAGCAGTGAGTTAAACCAGTTGGGCAGAACAGCGTTTGGATTCACTAGTATTTCAATAATAGACACATGTGAGTGTTATCCCTCGTGCATGGGATGTTGGAGCCGGAGCTCGCATGCATTGTGTTGAGTGTGATAGCAAAAAGTTTGAGGACTACTGTTCCAGCAGCTTTTTAACCTCAGTTTTCTCCTTACTTGGGCTTCAGTTTGTTCTGTTTTCACATCTGCCTCTTTCAGCATCTTTTTTTTTAACTTTTAACTAACAACTTCAGCTTTAGAGAAGGGAAAAGAGGAACCCAATACCACAGAGAGAACATTGCAAGTCATGTTTTATTTCTCTTTTCCTTGTGGATCTGGGCTCTCAAGGTTTGACACAGCCCCCTAAAAATCGTGTCAGGTTCAGTAATCCACCCCGAAGTCATCATCTGGGCAAGGCATTCCCATCATGCTGTGTGCCTAGGCAGAGCGAGCATGTCTGTGCAAACAAGGTCGGTTCATGAAGTCTTCTTCCCCAGCTCATCACTAAATGTCGGGGAGAGCTCATGCAGACCCTGCTTACACCTGTGCTGGCTTTAATCTAGGTATCACAGGTAATGATAGCAGTGAAGACATGGCATTACAGACTTCTGTGCATGCTAACAACTCAGATCCATGCCCAGGGTTCCCAGTGGGTTTGTACTTGAGTGGCTACAACAGGGGTCGGCAACCTTTCAGAAGTGGTGTGCTGAGTCTTCATTTATTCACTCTGATTTAAGGTTTCGCGTGCCAGTCATACATTTTAATGTTTTTAGAAGGTCTCTTTATATAAGTCTATAATATATAAGTAAACTATTTTGTATGTAAAGGAAATAGGGTTTTTAAAATGTTTAAGAATCTTCATTTAAAATTAAATTAAAATACAGAGCCTCCCAGACCGGTGGCCAGGACCCAGGCAGTGTGAGTGCCACTGAAAATCAGCTCGTGTGCCGCCTGTGGCACACGTGCCATAGGTTGTCTACCCCTGGGCTAGAATGTGCTGAAAAGCATGGGCTGTGCAAGCGTGAGCTGTGTATTCCTTTCTCAAAACAACAATGTATGTTCAAGACAGTATTTTTTATATCTATTGTGGTAGCTCCAAGAGGTCCCAATCAGTCATCAGGGCCCCATTTTATTATTATTCATTTGTATTACAGTAGCTAATGCAAACAAAGATCACTCCTGCCCCACAGAGCTTTTACTGCTGTGACTACTTTTCTATACATACCTAAAATAGACAGATAAAACAATAAAGAAAAGTAAAGAAGGCAGCCCTGTGCACTGTTGTTCAACAGCTATTGCCCCAGACACACAGAACCATGGGCGCCAAAGGGTAATTGTCCCCGCCTCACTTTTTAAATAGGAGGGCCATGCCCCTCCTTTTGAGAGGCTGAACTCAGCAGGGGCACTACGAGGCAGGGGAGGTCCTGCTCTTGGCCCTGACTGGAGCTGGGTGGCATAATGGTGTGGAATCCCTTCTCTGCTGGCATGCTGGAGGGGCGGTTGGGCCAAATTTGAGTGCGTGGTGTTGGGACCCCATGAGTAAGTAGTGATGTGACCTGGTTTGCCCCTTCACTTTGCAGTCCTTCTGGCGCCCAGGCACAGAACCCCAAACATAAATTTCAGGAGGTGAGGAGATTCTAGCTGACTTTGTCCTGTGTCTAAGGCATTAGGTGGAGACTGAAGATCTGGGTTTTATTTTTGGCTCTTCCATAGACTGCCTGTATGCCCTTGTGCACATTCCTGAATCTCACTGTGCCTGTAAAATGGGAATTATCTGTTTTGTCTACACACACTGTAAACTCTTCAGGGCAGGACTGTCTTTCACTGTGTGTCTGTGCAGCTCCTAGCACAGTGGGGCCCTGATCTCAGTTGCAGCAGGGACTGTCTCCCACTCAACCTAGTCTACTTTCCCCTCTAACCATTTCTAATACTAAATTCCCTGGAAGAGATGGAAATAAACAGTGGTGACTTGCTTGCTGAACCTGTTGTTCATGTGGCCGGTTTTGGCGGTTTATGACTACAAAAGTCACTGCTGCAAAAGCCACCACATAATTTAATCAGTGAGGATCTTCCATTTTCTGAGGGTAGTTCTCTGCCTGCATTAACAGGCTTGTTTCTGCTTCTCCTAGGTGTCTGGATCCATTGCTATGTGCATTGCCATCAGCTTGTTCTGTGGAATTCTGCCATCTTCTGGGCGACACATTTTTGGTACAAGGTCCCGCGGGCCCTGCGGTAAGCTTGACTTAGATTCTGCATTAAGACCTCCAGGTTCTTCAACACTCTGGTGCACCAGTTTGCAGAGCTTGTGACAGATAAATTAATAAATAGAGGTTGCCTTTGAATTGAATAATAATATGAACAGTACAGTCAGTTCAGTCTCCCTTGAATTAATGTAATATTTTAAATTAAATGGTCCCCATCGTCACTCTGTGCAGTTGGCCATGCCCCTTACAGCGCCCACAGGAAGAGGGGTAGCAAAGGAATCACTAGCTCTACAACTTCTGAGGACTCTACAGTGGGGTCATCCTGCTGTGGTTGGTTGTCATGACTTTAGGTCTGCTCTCTCCAGCAGTGAAGTAAAAAGCAACTTTGCTGTAGGCCAGGGTCTGGGCCAGTTTATTTTCAGGGGTCATCACCACCATGTTTCAAGATGGCCACTTGACAAAATTACTGTACTTAGTGTCGGACATGGGGAGGGAAGGGGGTTATGTCATTCAGTGTCGGACATGGGGAGGGAAGGGGGTTATGTCATTCAGTAATTCAATTTTTTGAAAAATTACCACAGACCTCAACATTTTTACCACGGACACTTGTGTCCATGTATGGACATGATGCTGACCCCATCTCTAAACCATCGTTCAACAGATGTTTGTATTGGCAATACCTAGAAGTTGTGAAGAAGAAAGCTGGAGGTTTTGTCAATTGATTAGGGGCATCTGGGGAGGCAAAGGAGCCAGTTAGGGATTGTGGGTAAGAACATTAGCTGGATGTTTCTCCTAAAATAGTCCAAAGTGAAATAATTAGCACTCTTGTCATTTATATTGCCATCACTAGGATTCAGAATCAACCTGCCACTGACTTAAATGGGGCAGTTCATCCCTCCCATAGTGACAGATTCAGGATTTGCAGATTCAGGCAGACATCAGTATGTTGGCTAAACCCAGTTCACATTTGGAATTTCATTGCAACCATGAGGGCTAGAAATATTTTTTTTAAAATGAAATTTGAGCTTTTGAATCGCAGGTCTGTAGCAAGGGGTTAGCCTGGATGACCCTTGCGGTCCCTTCTAACCTTATGATTCTATAAAGGGTGGATTCAGCACTTCATGGGGGACTTGCCATTCTTTATGCATCGTGCTGCCATCATACCATTAATCGGGATAATCATATGAAGACTCTGCGTTACAGTTGTCGATTCTGCACTTAGAGATCTAAGAGCTGGAAGAAGGCATTAGCAAGACTAATTCAGTTGTAGTGCATTAGCAGTCATGGAGGCTTCAGCTGATGGCAAAGCTGCTGGCTGATTCATGACAAAAATAAATGTTGAGAGATTGGATTTTCCCTTGGGATGGAAATCCGGCTTTCCACTCAGTTTTAATACCAGGCATGTGCTCAGAAGTAGCCACATCTCACAGGCTACTGAGTAACACTCTGCAAACAGGCATCAGTGTGCCTTTAGGATAGTCTAGTGCAGTGGTCCCCAAACTTTTTACCTCGTGCCCCCCCTTATTCCTGTCCGTGCCCCGCCACGGAGCCAGGAGTGGGGCTGCGGATCTGGGAGGGGAGGGACGCGGACAGAGGTAAGGGAGCCGAGGCTGGGGCCACAGTCAGGGGTGGGAGCGGACCCTTGGCTGGGCAGCTAGGAACCTTGAGCATAGGGCAGGCAGCCCGGATCCTGGGCACAGGGCTGACAGCTGCAGCTGGGAGCAGATCCCCAGATGTGGGGCCAGCAGCCCGGGACTCCGGGCAGCCACGGCCTGGACCGTGGCATGGGGCCGGGGCCAGGAGCGAATCTGGGAGGTTCTCCCTCCCGACCCCTTGTGAGGGCTGATCCGGGCCCCAGCCGCACCCCCTGAACATTACCCTTGGGGAGGTATGCCCTATATATTGAAGACCTCTGGTCTAGTGGATTGTAGTCTGGCCTGGGACTCAAAAGAGCTCAGTTCTAGTCCTGGTTTTACCACTAGCCTGCTAGGTAACCTTGGGCAAGTCACTTCCCTTCTCTGTGTCTCACTTTCTCCATCTGTAAAATAAGGATGATACTGACCTCCTTTGTAAGGTGTTTTGTGATTGACTGATGAAAATGTCATATAAGAGCTGGTTGTTATTATTCTCCTGGGGGACAATGGCAGGCTATAATTATTATTAGGAGAATACATCCATTTATTATTTAATATTTTTATTAATGACCTGGAAGAAAACATAAAATCATCACTGATAAAGTGTGCAGCTGACACAAAAACTGGGGGATCGGTAAATAATACAGAGCAGAGTTCACTGATACAGAGGGATCTGAATCACTTGGTAAGCTGGGCACAAGCAAACAATATGTGTTTTAATACAGCTTACTGCTAAATGTACACAACTAGGAACAAAGAACGCAGGCCATACTTACAGGATGAGGGACTCTATCCTGGGAAGCAGTGACTCTGAAAAAGAGTCTTTATTCAACAACAGCCTCTCAGACATGCCTGGCTCTCCAGGTTTCAAACGCTGTCTGAGCTGCAGACACTCAGTACCCGTGTCAGATGGCCACACGCAGTGTGTCTATTGTCTGGGGGAGACACACATTGCCCAGAAGTATCCCCACTGTAAAAACTGACAGCAAGGACAAGAAAGGCTAGGGATCCCCAGCTAAAACGCCTAATGATGGAGAAATCCCTCAGACCTGCCTCCAATCCCGAGTCCCGGACACCTCCTGGCCAACGCTCGCCTGCAGCTCCCTCAGACACGGGATCCTCTTCAAAAACGGCTAAAGGACCCTGTTCCTAAAAAAGCCACAAAAAAGCAGTCTCACACTTCTCCACAGCGAGAATCCCCTAGAAAAAAGCGATCTCCGATCACAAAATCTGCTCTGGTACCAATGGCACCAAGAACGCCAGACCGCGAGACACAAGGACCGTCTCGTACTCAGGAGCAAAAGACCCGGTGAGGCCTAGCTCTCATGGAGCACACATACAGACCAAAACTGAGCCTCCCACCTCAGCACGGAGGGAACCTAAGAAAACCCAGGCACCGAGCAGCACAATGGTGCCACCTGCTGCACCAATACAATGCAGTAGTTCTGTGGCATTGGCAAGGCTCATGCTGATTCCCAGCCAGAGCTTGCCTCCCACTTCGGTACCGAGCCTCCCCGTGCCGCAACAGTTTTTCAGCCAGGTGGACCTCCTCATCCCTTCTACTCCAGGAACTCCGCTTTTCGGCACCTGCAGCACCCCAGCCAGACCAGGGCCAAGCTTTAATACTACCCATGCTGGCTGAGCCCCATCTCTTTCCAGCGATGAAGAGGAAGAAGTAGAAGCAGGGATGTACACCCCTCACCATTCCTCGCCCAAACCTGGACCCTCACGGCAGCAGAGCACAGCTTGGCAACCCCCACAATGGGTGCCCCCTCCCATGTCCTCCCACCAAACTGGGTATATTGGAACCCATGGGTGTTATACAGGGTCCAGAACATTAAGCCCTCCAACCCACCCAGGTCCAGGACATCACAATCGTCTTCGCCTTCTACCCCAGCTTCCCCAGAAGTGCTGGAGAAGGAAGCCGAAGAACCTGAAGATAGAGTGACACCCTCCAACCTACCCACATTTTCCTTTAGTCTCTTGACGAAATAATAATGTCGCCTCCCACGACATCGGGAGATGACTTCAAATCTTTTCAGGATCTGTTTCAATGAGTAGCCGACTCCCTTTATATATCACTGGCAGAGCTACAAAGACACAGCATAAGCTGACAGATATACTTCAAGCTTCTCCAGCAGCCAGAATAGCTCTACCCATTAATGCTGCCATCATGGACCCTACAAAAACTGTCTGGCAGACGCCAGCCACAGCTTCACCTTCTTGTAAAAGATCTGACAAGAAGTACTATGTACCGGCTAATGGAGCTGAGTTTTTGTTTACCTACTGTGACAGACCCAGACCAGTGGGGAACAGGAGTCTGGTAGAGGGGAAATATACTGGTCACTGGATGAGTAGTTTTCTTTTCCCTGAGTGACCAGAGAAAGAGGCTGCACTAGAGTAATCAGGAACCTGCTAGAACCAGTTAAGGTAGGCAGGCTAATCAGGGCACCTGGGTTTTAAAAGGAGCTCACTTCAGTTTGTGGTGCGAGTGTGAGGAGCTGGGACAAGAGGC